GGGGGGCTTTGCCGGGTCTCAGGGGGGATTTGCAGGATTCAAAGGGGGCTCTGCAGCCTGCAAAGCCCACCACAGATCCTGCAGAGCCCCCCTGAGATCCTGCAGGGTCTCAGCAGGATCGGTGGGGGGCTTTGCTGGGTCCCAAGGGGGCTTTGCAGCATCTGGGGTGAGATCTGCGAGGTCTATCGGGACTGCAGGGTCTCAGGGGGTATGGTGGGCTTAGCAGCCTGAGACCCCGCAGAGCCCACCAAAGATCCTGTAGAGACCACCGCAGAGCCCACCTGAGACCACAGCCAGGTGGGGTAAATGTAGTGTATGGCAGGGGCGCCCGAGTTTTGTCTTGCCTAGGGCAGCCCAAACCTAAATACACCACTGTATATGGTAACCTGTTTATATTTTGACTAAGGTTTATGCAAAGTAAAGCATGCTTACCCACGGTCTTCTAAATAAATTCTTGTAACTATCCATACAATACTACATATGGTGGGAATACCTAAGGAAGAAAACAGTAAAAGAAGTCAGGGTGTAAAAAAACAAAACAAGTTTGGTCACCATAGCAATTTACATTTCTAATTTAAATTTAAAACATGCATCATTTTTTTCTGCTATCTACTATAGTTTATTAAAGTGTAAATCCAGCTCTGTAAAATGTAACCTATACAGTAGAACTGCAATATGGGAAATTATATAATTTATTTTATTTTTAATCAAAAAACCTTTACGTGTCATGCTGTTTTTATTTATGATCCTAAAACTGTAAAACTCAAATGTATATTCTATGCACTTCAAAAACCTTTACTACAACTCTATTGGAATACTTAAACACATTGAAAGAAAAGATGACCCAGTCATATTTCATAGCACACTGGGATTTAGTGATCATGCAGAACCTATTGCTTCTAACTTCTTTTTTTTATTGAAGTTGCAAGAAATGTATAATAAGATTACTATGTCTGGTCTTAGCATTCCTATTAACAAATCTGTTCTTTACTGAGCTCATTCTCTTCAATGTATGCAAAACTGAATGCATCAGAGCAGTGAGATATTCCCCTCTACCTCCCTCTGCTCTGATCAGGGTGAATTTCAATCAGAGATAGAGTCTGAAGGCAAGCTTTGTCTTTAAAAACCCATCAAAATCACAAGTTCACCCCGTAGTATATCTTAGATGCTGTAGAAAGATTATTTAACACTAATATAAATAGTAACCCAATACCGACAGTGTTTCCTTATAAGCATTTTCCCCAAATGGTTTTAATTAAGAAACATGAGAGCTAATTATTTTTACAAACAAAAAATAGCCAGTTTCTATTATCACTACAATGCTGGGAAAGTGTAACTGGCAAGTCAGTTAATTATATCCATCCCCTATAATATATATATTGTAAAATAATGTAAGAAGTGGTAAATTAAACATACCCCATCCAATAAACAGGTATATAGTAAAATGTCTGTTTGGAGAGAAGATCACCACAAGAAGTGTATGTAGGTAAAGTCCTTCTACCAGCAACCAGTAGAAATTTGCTGTCACACAATAATGAAAAAACACTAAGATAATCTTGCAGCCAACCTGTAACATAAAATGCCAACATTCACAGTTTAAATGTATTTTGAGGGGAGGTTTGTACACAGTATATACACACGCACACGCACACAGTTTATATAAATAAATATTTAAAAAATATATTTATTCTATGCATTTTTTTTAAATCGATCTATCCACACTATATGGCCAGGGTCTGAGTGGACGTCTAGAGACGCCCGCTCAGATCTAGAGAGCTCCTGGCCGGCCGTTTTTTTACTACGGCCGGCCCGGAGGCAGTTAAACTTATATGAGCTTTTGCTTATCCCAATTGCACATCCCAATCCAAAACCATGGCCTCTGTGGCTATAACAGCCTTTGCTCTTCTAGGAAGGCTTTGCTCACGATTCTGGAGTATTTCTGTAGGAATTTATGCCTATTAAAAAAAGTAATAGTGAGGTCAGGTACTGATGTTGTTGAAGGTGTTCAGTAGGGTTGAGGTCAGGACTCAAGTTCCTGCACACCTAACTTGTCAACGCATATCTTAATGTACCTGATTTTGTGCACAGAGGCACAGTCATGCTGGAATAGGAAAGGGACTTCCTTAAACTGTTGCTACAAGGTTGGAAGTGCACGAATGTCTAAAATGTTTTTGTATGCTGTTGTATTAATTGTACCCTTAACTGGAAACACCTGAATCATTTGAAGGGCATCCACATACCTTTGACCATATAGTTGTAGATATGATGTTCACAATTTCACAATCTTTTATCTATCTATCTATCTATCTATCTATCTATCTATCTATCTATCTATCTATCTATCTATCTATCTATCTATCTATCTATCTATCTAATCTCTCTGTCTGTTATTAAAAATGTACTTTAGTCTGTGGCAGTGGTTTAATTACTAGCATTTACCATGGGTACATTCCGAGGTTTAATGTGGCTAATTAAGATAGTAATCAATGGTCTTTCTAATGAAACTTGGGCAGCGGACCTACAACTGCTTTCATGTTGCTAGATATGTCCAATCTGGATTCTCAGGATATCTTTCACTGGAGGATGGGGCAGATGTGGTAAACATGTTAGTTCCAGCTCTGCCTAAACAGTATCTGAATGGATGATAGTGTATTAGAATCATGTGCATTTCAACTATCATTGTCCCATTATTGGAAAATTAGCTTTTTAGGTGCTATACCCTGGCCAATAGTCATCCTTGTTGATAGGCATCTTACACTAACCATTCATTCCATCACATGCAATGCACAAAGTGTAATTACCAGAGAGTCTGGACAGGAATATGAACTGGAGTACAGAAAATCATCCTTCACTAATACAGAAATAGCTTTCAAAATAAATGAGAGGAACAAATTCAGGTGGATGTAGTTCCTCGTACAATGCAGCTTTCTGGAATGAAGAAGTAAAAAAATATAAACATTCAAAATATTGTAATGTGTGCATTCAAATACAATATGCTTGCCAATGTTATACGTAGGTATGGGTTCTTTTATTCTAAATAGTTGATACCTTTACAATGCCATCATTGGAAGGATAACCTTAGTGTCTATGAGAATCAGGGACTGATGCACTCTCCCCTACCATTAACATTAAAATGCACACTCTATCAACTCATTTTTGTTCATTGAACAATCATTTACACAGAAGATAACTTGTACTTCTAGTCTAAGTATAGATAGAATAAGGATTTAAAATGGCATATTTTTTGCTTGAGATTTTAGGCTTTTTTGTCTGTTGCTAACCCTAACCTACAGAGATTTTATTGTCCACTTCTTTTGTATTATCTATTACCTGGGCTAATTCAAAGACAAATGTTCTAAATAAACATTCCTGATACGGGAGACACTCTGAAATGTGTTCAATATTAAAGCATATGTAAGGGCTTTTGAGGTATCAAGATAGTCAATACAAAACTGTATTAAAACTACATCTTTATTGATACAAAATAAAAAAATGAGTTTACATAGTTAAACTACATAAAAATAGAGATCCTTCCTTTAAATTTAGCATACAGTCATGACCTCCCTTATATAGATACCAGCAGTGTTGATTAATTGTCCGATGACCACAGAGAGTCCAATAAGTGCGATATTATCATGATGTCATGGTATCCAAGGGTGCCATTACTCCTCCTCTCTGAAATGTGTTGGCAACACATATGTCGGAGCAATAAACCTATCTGTGCCTGATTTTTGTCATTGAGGATTGCCCCTGCAATGTGGGGTTAAGCACTCGCTGAATTGTTTTCTAATTCAGTTAACTTTTTTTCTGTCTACATCTCTACCATAGGAGAAGAATTCCTCTTTAAGACAGCTGTTACCGTAACAGGTGACAATTGTAAAATTTTAAATGTCCTATTACTTGTAAAAGAAGCCGTGGACATGTCAAACCATAGGTCCTAGGAGTAGGACTTTACTTAAGGCATATAGGATCTTCACTTTGTAAGGGAATATTCACTTTGCATGGCAATTTTCCTTAGGTTTAGTATATGAAGTGAAGCTCTGTTGACTTCCATCAGCTAATCACGTGCAAGCAAAGTACATTTTTTTATTTTTATTTTCCTTGCACATGATTGGGTATGCTTTGCAAAGTGAGTTTTCATCACATTCAATAAGCTACATAAGTATTCCAAAGTGAACAGCCTGTTTCCCTTCAGTAAATAAACCCCAACCCCAAAGAAAATTTTAGTAATTTCACATTATGGTGATACAAGACATCAAATGCATTTCAGGGGTTTAGACACTACCCCTTCATCAGGGTTGCAGTAAAAAGCAATAAAGGTAAAAAAAGAAACAATTGGACATATTATTATGTATTATAAAAATGATAAAAAGGTCATATACAAAACTGGTGGTATCTAATCAACTGTTAAAAAATTAATAAAATTACTAATAATTAACACAAATCAATCATGGACTGTTAAAACACCCAAGCGGGCTATTACTGATGTTATTTCAAATGTTACCTCATATTGTACTAGAAAAACACTTTACACAACATTATTGGTGCTAGTATTATTTTGACTGTCTTCTACCCTTTAATGTGAATTACTTAAAATGTTCTAGGACTTATGCTGTGGCGCTTCCACTGCTGCTCTTGGACTTTTCGCAGAAACCCCACTAGTGCCACTGCACTACATGGTTCAACCTCTCCAAAGCTAGTTAGCTTTATTGTTTGAACCATTCGTTGCAATATCGGACATCATAAACAGGAGGTGATTTATGGTCATATACAATATATACTGTATATACACTATATTGCCAAAAGTATTGGGACGCCTGCCTTTACACACACATGAACTTTAATGGTATCCCAGTCTTGGTCCACAGGGTTCAATATTGAGTTGGCCCACCCTGTGCAGCTTTAACAGCTTTTCTGGGAAGGCGTCCACAAGGTTTAGGAGTGTGTCTATGGGAATGTTTGACCATTCTTCCAGAAGCGCATTTGTGAGGTCAGGTACTGATGTTGGACAAGAAGGCCTGGCTCGCAGTCTCTGCTCTAATTCATCCCAAAGGTGTTCTATCGGGTTGAGGTCAGGACTCTGTGCAGGCCAGTCAAGTTCCTCCACCCCAAACTTGCTCATCCATGTCTTTATGGACCTTGCTTTGTGCACTGGTGCACAGTCATGTTAAAACAGGAAGGGACCATCCCCAAACTATTCCCACAAAGTTGGGAGCATGAAATTGTCCAAAATGTCTTGGTATGCTGATGCTTTAAGAGTTCCCTTCACTGGAACTAAGGGGCCAAATCCAACCCCTGAAAAATAACCCCGCACCATAATCCCCCCTCCACCAGACTTTACACTTAGCACAATGCAGTCAGACAGGTACCGTTCTCCTGGCAACCGCCAAACCCAGACACGTCCATGGGATTGCCAGACAGAGAAGCATGATTTGTCACTCCAAAGAACACGTTTCCACTTCTCTAGAGTCCAGTGGCAGTGTGCTTTACACCACTGCATCCGATGCTTTGTATTGCACTTGGTGATGTAAGGCTTGGATGCAGCTACACGGCCATGGAAACTCATTGCATGAAGCTCTCTACGCACTGTTGTTGTGCCAATCTGAAGGCCACATTAAGTTTGGTGGTCTGTAGCTATTGACTATGCAAACAGTTGACAACTTCTGTGCACTGTGTGCTTCAGCATGCGCTGACCCCGCTTTGTCATTTTACGTAGCCTACCACTTCATTTCTGAGTTGCTATTGTTCCCAGTTGCTTCCACTCTGTTATAATACCACTAACAGTTGACTGTGGGATATTTAGTAGCAAGGAAATTTCATGGAACACCTGAATCCAATGATTTGGAAATATAGTGTATATCAATATTCCAATTTAGCAATAAAAACGTGGTAAAAACAGTGCTCCTAACCCTATTGTGCTCCTATCCAAAATGCAAAAACAAAGTCTTTGGATATACAGTAGATACACTTTCATGACACTGTCCTAGTTTTTTTGCCCAACAAAAGACATTTGTAACATGTAAAGGCTTTTCAGTTTAAAAGCAAAAGAATGTAGCTGCTGATTTTGTTGATGCTCAGTTGGTGTAAAATATTTAATTGTTAACTTGCCTAAGGTTATTACCTCTCAGCAAGTCTCCCTCATTTCATCCTTGAAGGTCATGAAAGATAATTCAGTGCAGGCTAATATTGTCTCACAACAGGAATCACAGCCCTTTTCTATTAAATGTGTAAAACAATTTTGGCATCAGATTAAAAAAAGCAAAAGAAACACAGTCTATCCAACAGGAATTCACCAATGTGATATTGAACTGACAAATGTAATTAAATGTTCTCATATCTTTTATTTGTGTTTGGTGTAGCTTTCAAGGACTTCTTTTGAAGGAAATTATTGGCAAAAATAAAAATCAATGTTTTCCCTTATTTTATACCCATCTCATACACTATGGGTAACCAAAAGTCCAAGGCTACAAATAAGTGGAGAAATGTACATTTTACCAAAGTGTTGTGTGATATAGGAATTATAGACTTTATAAGGATGTCTCCAGCATTGACATTGGCAGTGCCACCAGTGGTCACTACAAGCACCCATCTGCATTACATTGGGGATATGCGGTAAGGAGTGCAGGAAGACACGTCTTCATCATATAGGAATTATGTACACAGAAGGGCATCAAGTATCTCTACCTGGCCATCATGTGCACTATAACTTAGTGCACTCTATGGAGGCCAAATAAAAACAAATGTCTTAAGGTGGCACTTCAGGCAAAAAGCGAAAATACAGATGAATGGCATATGTGTTTACTGTTTTACCTGCTAACACAATTTTAATTTTGGGCAGCTATTTATGTGATGCACATAGCACTGCTAGTTGGTTAAATCTGCTCCTTTTTGGTCTAGTATTCCTTCTGTCCATGTGAGTTTCCTGCTTCCTGGGTCAACTCACTGGGCAGATGCTGATTAATTGTGAGGAGACTGGAGCTGGAGATGTGACATAGGAAGCTACATTGCTTAAAAGGGAACTATGGGGTAACCTTTCTATCCCATAGTTCTCTTTAGGGTCACGGGAGGACATATACTAGCATCCTTCCTTGACCCAAAGCTCAGTATATAGCGAGCTACAGTGCGCTATATACTGAGAGCGCTGCAGCCAGGATGGATCCCGACAATGCTTTTGAGATCCACCTAGCTGCGTGAGTGACAGCTGGTTCTGCCTATCTAGAGGCAGAGCCCTCTGTGCCCGCCCCCTCCACCGTCCGTTCCTCCCGTCAGCGCTGGAGGATTGGCGCGGGGAGGGGGGGAATCCCTGGGGGGAACGGTGACTGACAGTCACCGCTCTTTGCAGGGAGATGATCGGAAAGTGAGGGAGCGACGGTATGTGTCGCTCCCTCCCTCAGGGAAGTGTAATTGATGCAGACCATGGAGCTTTGCTCATTGGTCTGCATCAATTACACTTCCCTTTATAAAGCTGTATGAGTGAGGCAGTGGATATGTTCTGACGAAGGGGGCGTGGCCCCGGAAACGCGTCATCACAGGAGTCCCGTGCTGACACACAGGCATATGTGCAGCCGTTCTACAGTTATCGCATAGGCTCGTTTTTATGCTTTTATTGATCCACTTTTGTGAGTATGTTTTTACTCTGTATTTTTACTCATAATCATTAAAACCCTCTACACTAGGGTGGGCGCCCTTCTCTTTTCTTTTTCCCCACTAATAACAACCAGTTATACACTAAAAAGAAAAAAAAGCACACATAGAATGAACACTTAATGAACCAAACTAAACTACAGTAAAAAGACACCCTATAAATAAAATTAAAAAGTAGATTTTTTTAAGCAAACAGCTCAAAGAGCAAAAACAGAACTTTCAGCTTTGGCAACATTTCACTGATGGCAAAAATGGAATTTCATGGCAAAATCAATTTCACTAAAATCACTCCACTCATCCCTAATAATGAAATAATCAATTAATATCTTAGTTTCCCTCATAAGGAGACTAAGTTCTTGGTAAGGCAAACTAAAGAATGGGCTAAGAAGAACAGGCTGGCTTCAATTATGTTAATCAAAACAGATTTTACAAAATATATTAGATTGTCGTTGCACATGACTCTAACAAATATTGTGTTTGTTTAAATGCACATTTTTACAACATAAAAGTATAAAACATGCTTATTTACTTACCTAAATAAACAAAGAATTGCACTTCCTACTGTAAGTGCTATGAGTGAAGCACTGTGACCAAACGTGTAGATAGCTTTCACTATGATATAGAAAGACAGCTGCAAATGCAATGAAAGTAAATTAGTACCTACGTGGATTTATATTAACGGAAAACAACAATTCAGAAGTACATATTACACAGTTCTGCTGACTGACTGACTGCATTTGCTGCTGTCTCCAGACATTCTGCGTTGAAAGCTCTAGGGGAATATGTGGTGAAGAATCCCCAACTCCTATGTGATCACATTAGTGTATCACTTACAGTTCCAACAAAATTTTACTAATGTGAGGCTTGACGCTACTTGGCTATTCTCATCTTTGGGTTCACCACCAGCAAGCACTGAGATACACAATATGGCAATCTATATTTAAAATCCAAAGTCATAGATATAGATAAACTTTGAACTAACAACCTCCATTTTCATAGTCATACCTCTGCTCCTCATTTTTCTGCTACAGCAGCTTTGCAGGGAGTCTAACTATGACTGTATAGTCCAATAGGCACCAAAATTAGTCTCAGCACACTCGGTAATATAAAAGACCTGGGTAAAAAAAGATGTATGACTTCCCCTTCTCTGCAATACAGGTCTGTGTGAGGACAAGTGCTGAGGGTTATGGTTGTTACTCAGCTTTGCGAGAAAAAGGTATTTTAAAGACCAATTTAAGCTTTACTTTTTTCTATGTATTCAGGCTGCATAACACATAAAGAACATCCCCTTTTCTTACTATCTGTGTCTATCAGTGTACTAATCTGCTCTATGTTAGCAGCATTCTGTAGAGCCAGACTGCTGCTTTTGCACAGAGCATAGTGACCACCATCTTCAGTGGTCCAACATGCCCCCTGCACAGTACTGCAATCAACAATGCTGCTCAGGGAGTAGGAGCATTGTTGATTGGAGTACCATGGAGGGGGTGTGAATTTGAACAAGTAAACAAAATTTAAATTGGGCTTTAGGGCATTTTCTAGCAAAGATCAAAAACTCCAAACAATTGGGAGTACTTGGACTATATCGTTAAAAATAGCCTAAAATTCTGCTCGTCTTTTACACCACAAGCAGTGGGCTGTATTTTTTAGTGCAGCCAAAATGCAAAGCCACAAAAATACTTTCCTTAATGCTTTCCATTCACACTATGGGGTTAATTTACTAAAAGCAAACAGGCCATTTACTTTGCAAGGAAATTTCCTTTTTGCAGGGGAATTTCCCCTCAGCTTAGTGAATGAGGTGAACCCCTGCTGTCTTCCATCATCCAATCATGTACAAGCAAAAATACAGTTTTTCTTTATTTTCCTTGGTCATGATTGGGTATTCTATGCAAAGTGAATTTTTACCACATTCACCGAGTTAAGGGAAAATTCCCCTGCAAAAAGAATTTGTTTTTGCAAAATTAATAGCCTATTTACCCTTACTAAATCAACCCCAATGTTGGATTGCTCTAACATTGTCAACATGCGTTAGACCTTGTTCACATGGCAGCTGAGGGACTATAAAAACAGGCAGTTGATCTGAGTTTTTACTGCCCCCGGACCGTCCACCCATCATGGATTGCTTTTCAGAGGGGTGGTGGAGCATGCCGCCTGCTGGAACGAGGCCTTACAAGGAAATCTGTAAACATTATTCATTGCTAGTTGTGCACAATAAAGATAAAAAGGATAATGCAACACATGTAAAAACACAGTGCAATGTGCTCCATAGAGAAATAAATAACTGCAATACATGTCAATGTGTGCACAATATGTATGTGTTTTCAGGTGTGTGTGAATAAACCCTCTATAATTACTTTTTCACAAGTTTATAACCTGCGGCTGACAAGGAAAGTTAGGGACAGTTGGTCTGTATATATGATAATTCAACATAAACATCTGAGAATGTTACCAGAAGGATTTACCCAAGTTTACTTCCTCTTAAGTATCCCCATTAACTGCATTATGTTCATTTTCAGGAACATGTATATCAGTCACTGACGTGACATGCAGTTCCTTAATTTATAAACCAGGAAACAGCTTTCTATCCTGTTAGAGCTCAGCTTTCAGACTACAAACAGTAATCAACCATGTTATTATTAGAACAGAATCTCCATATTTATTTCAGAACATTCTTAGGATGGCAGCAATGCATTTAGGGCTCTGGATGCCCAGACAATCCATTTCTCATGTGAGAGTGATTGCAGCAAGATTACCATGCACTTTTATATCAGACTTCTGTATTTTCTGCTCAGTGCCGTAATTAAACAAGCTTGGCGCCTCGTCTTGTGTGATGTTTATAAAGTGTAATTAGGCTCCATCAGATCCTGCAGTTTCTTCTCACACGAATAAACCCTATATTAAGTCCCCCTCATTTGTCTGTGACAAAATATGATTTTCTTCTCATATGTCACTTGCAGACCCATTGCTCAATGACAGATGCCACGGACAGAAGAGAAGTGTTTATATTTGTAACCCATGCTATGGGTATTTTTGGTTAATGGTGGAATCTATTACTATGTGACATAAACAAAGGAACTTGTATCAGGCTAGAGTGTGATAGAAGAAACTCCTCCATCAAGGACTGGTACACCTACAACAAAAAGTCAACAAGTAGCTATGACATTCACAAATAATTTTGTAAATGTACTCAAACTAGCAGAGGAAATTAGATATTTTGCATTTGTGTAACTCTACTGTGCAGTCTGTTTAAAGATGCCCATACACTGCACGTTTCTCGTATGAGAATCGCGGGAAATCCCGCGATCGTACGATAATCGTGCAGTGTATGGAAAGCGTGCGACCGGTTCTACTGTACGGTCGCACATCTTCCGTCGAACCAGCATGCTAGAAAACCCGCCGGGAATCATACGATTCTCGGTGAGTTAGTGGCCTGCTGGTTCGACAACTGCCGAACGGGCCGGTGTGCGCACACTGCCTGTTTGCAGTCATCATAAGCCCGCCCTTCATTACAGTCATCAGAAGCCCGCCCCTCAGGGGGGCGGACTTGCGATGATCGAAAGTACGATCTGCCTGTCCAAGATGGGCAGATCTTACGTTTTTTTAAGTACTTTACAACCCTCGCAAGACTTTCGTCTTGCGAGGGTTGTAAAGTGTATGGGCACCTTTAGGCATCATTTTCTATGAAGGGATATTTCAAAGAACCCTGTACTAGGGGTCACATGTTGGCTGCCTTTGCTGACTTTCTTCTTAAAATGATTCTGTAGCTAAAATAAATGTGTCAATGAAAGCTACATTGTAAAGAAGATTGTAAATACGCCCCTCACCCTTGCTGCAAACCTCACCTCAGGACGAGAGATCCTTTAACCTCCTGTAGACTGGCCACTGTAAATAACATAATAAGTCTGCAGCCGCATTGTTTCGGGAGGATGTACCTGATTTTCTATTTTATCCTTGAGTTGGGCTTTAAGCAACATTCATGGAACATTATATATTTTAAAATGGACTTCCTGCCCCTGTATAAAATGTACTTGTACTTGAAAAAAGTTGGAATCTATACTTACCTTACCCTTTCTTCCATCCGCATCAACTAAGTAAGGGTAACATGTTGATCCTTCCAGTGAGATTCCAGAAAAGATGAGGATCCCAAATCTCAGCTCTTGTATTCAGACAGCTCAGACTTGGACACCCGTGTCTGTCTGAATACCTGAACAGTGACTACATCTGGTAGGATGCAGTCACAATTCATCCAACAAGTTTCCATCCAGATCCTTTTAATTCCTATTCAGGACACAGCAACAAAGCAACATTTGCTTTAATACTCCATCACTTCATACGTTTTACATATGTTTAGCGCCAGGAGAAGAAGATGCTTGGTACTTTGGTGACTTATAGGACATAGGAAAGGAGTGCTGTTGAAGTCAAAGGAAGGTAATTATAGGTGTCTGGGGAGGTCTAAATGAAAGCAGAATTATAGTTTTTATAGAAATGGTAGCAGGTGGTGTTTTTTGGATGTGTAGGATGTCTATTTTAGCCATCTGCTAGCACATATTTTTTGCTTGTGAATGCGAAGTGCAGTGTGCAGTCTCAGCCCATTTCTGGCATCCTTATTATTTATCCTGAATTCTGGATAATGTAACTTCAGCACACATGCACAGGAGTTACATAATCAGTGACCACCCAATGGCCAAAGAAAGAATTTGTTGGATCCAGAAGAAGAGCAGAAAAAAGACAGCATCAGTGGTAAAGGGAAAATCTGGTGGCAAATGCTGCCACGGCCACCCCTCACTGATGTTCTAGTGTAACCACATGAGTCCCAGTCAACATTTAAAAATGGCACTGGGATAGTGGCTATTCATTTTAATACAGCAGCCATCTTTTGCAGGCCCCTGCCGGCACTAGGACCACAGCTATGAGACAAGGCTACTGGAAGTAAGGAGATTACGGAGGGATATGATTTTTGATGTACAAGATGTTCAATGGTGATAGCAACATCAGCAATAAAGTTTTTACGGTAAACACCATAACAAAGACAAGAGGCCACCACCTAAAATTGGTGGAGAAAAGATTTCAGCACAAGGGGCGTAGGGGCTTCTTCTCAGTTAGAGCCGTTAGGGTTTGGAAGTCGCTGCCGCAAGCAGTGATTTCAGCTGAGAGTGTTGAATCATTCAATAAACATTTGGATGATTTCCTCAGAGACCGTAACATTTAGGGGTACAGGTACTCTTAAGAACAAGATCACACAGGGATCACGCATACACATGCAGAATCACATGCATACACGCAATAGGTTGAACTTGATGGACCTGTGTCTTTATTCAACTTCAAATACTATGTAACTGTGTAACTCCATAGGCTAACGAATGTAAACACTATGCTTCCATTCCATTACATTAGGAGGGTAGTGATATCATGAGTGATGTCACAGAGTTTCGGTGGGTCACAGCCCATCTTTATGAAGGCTTTTATCATAAGCTCTTTCAAATACCTGTTAGTGCCCCAACCCTCTTTTTGAAAAATGATGCCGGATGATCTGGAGACATATGCTTAATTGCAATCCTGTGAAAAAGTTGCCATCATGCTAATTTGTGCCCTTATCTTCCTGACTTATTCTAATCTTAATGTTATGCTAGCAAT